TCACKCAGCCTTTCCTCATAAGAGAGAWGWTCCATTYCTTTAATCATCTCTGTTTCCCTCCACTGGACCTGCTCCAGGAGCTCCATGKCTCTCCTGTCCTGAGGRGCCCAGARCTGGACACAGMACTCCAGATGTGCCTCCCCAGGGCTGAGCAGGGGGGCAGGATCCCCTCCCTCATCCTGCTGGCAATGCTGTTCCTAATGCACCCCAGGACACCTTTGTCCTTCCTGGCCCCCAGGGCACTGCTGCTCATGGACAGCTTGGTGTCCCCCAGGTCCCCATGTCCATCTGCATAGAGCTGCTCCCCAGCAGGTCATTCCCAGCCTGTGCTGTGCCTGGGGGTTGTTCTTCCCCAGGTGCAGGACCCTGTGTTTGCTTTTGTTGAATTTCAGGCAGTTCTCTGCCCGTCTCTCCAGCCTCTGCCAAGATCCCTCTGGAGGGCTGCACAGCACTCTGGGGTATCCAGAGCCATTCCTCCSAGCTTTGTGTCACCAGTGAACTTGCTGAGGAGGCATCTGTCCCTTCATCCAAGCCTCTGATGGTTAATTTAAACTATRCTGGGATCAGTATCGAACCTGGGGGGACACCACTAATGAGAGGCCCCCAATTAAACCCTGTGCCACTCATAATGACCCTCTGAGATTGTCTGTCCAGTGAGTTCTCAGTCCACTTCACTGTCCACTCATCCAGTCTGCATTTCCTGATTTGGCCTATCAGGATATTGTGAGGGACTGTGTTGAAAGCCTYGCTGAAGACAGATACATTATAATACATACAATACATAATATTGAAAATTATATTCAATGCTCTTTTCTCATCCATYCAGGTAGTTGTTTCATCCTAGAAGGCAATCAGGTTGACCAAGCATGATTTACCTTTAATGAATCCATACTGTCTACTGCTGATTGCATGTTTTCCTTCCCATGGTTAGAGATGACATGCAGGATGAGCTGTTCCACCTTTCCAAGCATTGAGGTGAGGCTCACTGACCGGTGGCTCCCTGGGTCCTGTTCCTTGCCCTTTTTGAAGACTGGGGTGGCATTTGCTTTCTTCCAGTCTTCAGGATCACCGTTGATCACCATAACCTTTTAAAAATGATCATGAGTCCTTGCTATGGTATCCGCCTGCTCTCTCAGCACTCACAGATGCATCCTGACAGGTCCATGGACTGTGGATGTCCAGCTTACCCAGTGCTCCTTAACCATGGGAAGTCCTTCAACATTTCTTTACCCTGTTTTCCTGGGTCAGAGATTCCTGAGGGCTGGTCTAGTTGGTGAAGATGGAGGCAAAGATGGTGTTGGGTAACTCTGCCTTCTCTGCACCCTCTGTTAYCAAGGTCCTCCCTCTATTTGGTAATGGGCCCACATTATCATTCCTGTTCTAAGCTTTGTTTCACTCAGCRTCTCTGCAATTTTTTGCTCTTGTAAATACAAAACTCTTGTTARTCATAGAGGAAGGAGGAGAGAGGTAACTCATACCTTTTTCCYTTTCTGCACCTAAAATAGGATTGCTCAGTGTTAAGACCCTTCTGAGTGGTTCTTAACCGTGGCCCTGTGAAACATTCTCAGCTGTTTTATGTGCTGTCACTATCTGAAAGCCCCTGTCCATTTGTGCCTCCTACTGCACACAGGCTGCATTTGCAGAGATACATGTTTTAGATGAATACTGATTTTAAGGGCCTGTGGGCACTGAATTTCTTTGACAAAGCTCAGAACATGCAGTGATATTGCACTATTGYTGTATACTCTTTGTCAGATCAGTAGCAGGCTGTGAACATTTGGTTTCTGTGTAACTGGTATGACTGTCTTTCTTTAATGTAAATACAARCACCAAAATGCTTTTATTGGAACGTCTTCAATATACAAAGGACAAGAGGCCTTACCAGCTGTTATTCTGAGCATATTGCTGAGCTCAGTGTCTTGGCATCCCTCAGATTGCCAAGTGAAAAATGGGATTGAGAAGAAGAAACTGACATTTATTTAACCCTTCCAGGTCCTTTATTCCCTGTATGCAAAAATTTTCCCAACCTTATCTGAAAAAATGAACTAATCCTGTTTTCAAGCTGCAGCATGGACCATGAAATACCTGCTCATCTCTTCTCTGAGAATGGATCTTTGCTTGCCAAGTGACACCCTTCAGCACACAGCCAAAGTGCCCTTTCTGAGCTTGCTGTTTCTGTGGTCCCACCTCAGTGTGATGCTGAGGTCTGTGATATTCTGAGGCTTGCTGCATGTTCAAAAAACATGAAGAGAAATAAGTTTCTTTAGAAGAGACCTTGAAAAAAAGAGATTAATGCAGTGCTCTGAATTACCCACTTGAGAGGACTGTGGGTCCCATCTCTCCCTGACCCAAACAGAATTTAGGAAGCTCAGCCTGTGTCTTTTGCATTTAAAATTAGGAAAAGTGCATTGGTGCCTCGGGAAAGAGTCAATCCCCCCCCCCCAAAAGCACCCAAGTATTATAATACTATATCATCAGCAAATAGAGCTAATCAACAGAAATAATTCTGGTTGAAAATCAATGTCAAAGTCACACTGACTTCAACGGGGTCAGTATTTCATCCTATGTGATTTTAAACTAGCCACAAAATGGACAGTACTGTGCTACTGACATTGGAGCAATCATTTTATCCCTAATTCAGACAGTAAACCTTTCAGTTGCTAGTATGAGATGGACAGACTCATACAGAATAACCCTTCAAGGATAAACACCCTTTTTAAATCACTGAAGAATTTGTGTGGGACCTTAATCACTAGCACAGACTGGCAGGTCATTTTTTTGACACTTGCACACAATTTTGAAAATCAGCCAGAACTGACAGGTGCAAAGTTTCCGCACTCCTGTTATACACAATAATTCAGCATTTAATGGTTATATGTGTCCTTGTTATAGATGATATAGTTATAGATACAGATATAGATATATAAATAGATATATCTAGAAATGTTTTGGCAGTAACTGGTGCCCAATAATGGAGGACTATAGTACACGACTCTGCTTAAATAAAGCAGTGGAGAAAATTTAACGTATTTAGATTTTTAACAAGTTTAGTATGTTTGTCTCTCTGAATTTTCCTATAATGCTACATGGTTTAGCACCATTGGAAGATCTAAAAATGAGGAAAAATATTTAAAAAACTAATGAAGGTTTACCCCACTGTGTGGTAAAGCCATTCCTAAGAAAGCCTAATCTTGAAAATCTTTGCAAGCAAGCTACATTTATGAAATTCGGTCAGGAAGCATATAATTATATGTTGGATCACAGTCTAAATCAGCAATGTATAATACAGAGGTCATCCAGGAAAGGGCAGTTCTAAGCAAAGGTTTTCCAGGGAAATTCTCTGGTCCTCCAACCTTCACCTCTTCCTCAAACTTAYTCTTGTCCCCTGCAGAGTTATTGAGAGACCATGAATGACACTCTTCCCCTCATCCTCTATTTAATGAATCACTGAAAATTGTGTATTATTATTTTATTGACATTTTAACTTTTACATATCATAATTGCATGATCAACATTTTGCATGATTAATGAGAGAAATCAAAAAGATTGGTAAATGTTTGATTTTTTTTTTTTTTAGTACAAGCTACTGACCAAATTCCCCACACATATCTGAACATACTTGTTAATAACAGAATTAATAATCAGCAAAACAATTCAACTGAAAAAAATCCCCTACTTGTACCAGTACTTCTCACAAACAGTGAATTGTTGTCTGCATCCAAAACAAAGTCGTGGCAAAAACCCWTGTAAAATCCTAACAATGGGATCAAGGATGTTGGAAAATGCTGCTGACCTCACTGTAGAGCTCTTGCATACAAGTTCCTCTGATGAAAATATCATGGTATGGAAACCAGGTCCTCGCTGCCTTTGGGCACTTCTCTTAGGACAACAAATGACAGACTTTTGCTTTAATATTCTATCTCAGTTTCCCAGCCATTAAATTGGGTGAAATGACAATGCTTTATGTTGTTATTCAGAGCGTTTTTAAAGGGAAAATCAAGTCCATTCATTTCAAATATTATGTAGTYGTTACTGTTTCATACAGAGTAGATCGTACCGGACCTTGGTGCCAGAATTTCAAGTCCCTGTTTCTAGATATGACACTGAAAACATGTATATATTTTAATAAAACATKATTTTTGTTACACCAATGCCCCGTAGCATGTGCAATATGAATATTAAATCATGAAAATGACTACATTTTTTAATAACTTGGCAAAACAGAGAAAATAATAGAAAAATCTTTCATATTTGTCATAAACATGCCATTAACTCTACTTCATTAAACAGAAATTCATATTAGTTTCAACTGTGTTAAAAACATTTATCTATTCRCAGGGTTTTACTATTTTCTGTTCTAATCTAGTAAGTAATGTAATCATTATCCCAGGAACCATTGCATATCCTCTGATASAGTAAATCTAACTAAAGTTGGACAGGTTATGCTAAGGTCGTCTGTCAATTCTCTGAATATTTGATTCTTTTTAAAACAGAATTAAAGTAACTTGCATATTTGTATATGAAGTCCAGAAATTCAGTTGTTCAACTGATGTTAAAAATCTAAAATTCCCCCAAAGAAGATAAAATATTTTCATCAGATAAGATCTTTTTGTCAATAAACAGTGGTAACAAAGAGGAAACCTTTTTTTTCTAATTCCATGTTTTAAGATAAAACTGAAGGATTAAAGTAAGAACAATAAGCATGTTATCATCCTATTATTATGAAGTGTATCTCAGTAATGCTGAACCATAAGAAATAAATGACAGGAAAAATAATCTACTTAGTTGCAATAAGTGTCATACAATACKTTGTATAAAAATAAAAAARCATTCAGGATAGAAATCCCCAAATTATTAGTGTTATTATTATGCTAAATATCTAACAAATATCACTTGAAAAATGTAAGCTATTCACTAAATAAACCAAAATACACAAAGAAAAACAAAGGAGGATAAYATTTCATACAACTCTTAATTTTATTTATTTAATCTTGTCTCAGGCGCCTCTAATATTCAAGTGCTACACAATTACCAAAGTACAAAGAGCTGAAACAAAATTCAAAAACCTGATATCTAGCCAAGACAGCATCAATCAAACCTCCTATCAAAAGAAATCAATTGCTCAGAGGTACAAAGAATAGGAAAAAAGAGAATAGCAGGAATAATTACACYGTGGAGAGGGCAAAGAGTGGTCAAGAATAAGTCATTCCAAATCACAATGACTTTCACAATATTGTRGGTGTTCACAGTACTTTAGACACCAAACCCTGTGTAACGCTATAGCATCAGATTTCAAGCATAAATATGGCCAGTTCTCCAAGAACAGTGACAGGAGGGGACAGGATCCCCAAATAAAGTTAAGCAGAGATAACCTCCACCCACACAGTAAATGCTAGCACATTCTGTTTAGTATATTTACCTTTTAAGAATGGGACCATGAACATGGAATGAGGTCAGAAAAGGATTTCTTTTTTAAAAARCATGACACATATAATACATAGCCCAGATAATCTTCTCACAGACATTTGAGAAGTGACCATAAAGCGAATAAGCCTTGCAGCATAGCAGAGGTGAACAGCTTGTTGATCTCCAAAAGAGAAGCAAGTTTTCCATGAGCTGCAGCTTCCAGGTCAACGAGTTCTGCTCAGGGTCAAACTGTGACAAGGTAAAGWTTGGCAAAGGACAGAGAGAGATATCATAGTTCCTAACTTTAGCAGGGTCTCTAGAACAGAGACTGTGACATCAAAACAGGTAGCTGAGATACTTTCCTTTCTCAGAAAGGGATACTCAGAACAGCTAAAATTAGTCAAGTGACTAACATCAGTGACAAAGGTTAGCTAAAGTTCTACGCCTTCTTTAGGTTGAGGCGTGGAACTTCAAGTTAAGTCTCCCTGGGCTTTGGAAAGGCACTTTGACACCTAAGAATCCAAACTGCAAAAATTATTTTTGAACAATATTTTTTCCCAATGTTTTCCTCCATATCTTTTTCTCAGAAAATTTAATCAGATCTTTCCTTTCAATTAAGAGAAAAACATACCCCTATATAGTCATAAACATAGCAGACGACTCAAACCTACTTCTCACAGCAAAACACTGCAGCTAGTTTGGGTGAATGTATACCAGCAAATAAAAAAGATCAGGAACCAGTCTCTGGCTTGAGGCCACAAGGCCATCTGACTGACAGATTTTATACTCCTTAGGACTAGTCTCCTATAGAGAGATTTACCCTGYAGTCAGCATAAGAAGGGCATGAACTAAGAGTTAAGCAGTGTGGGTAGCAAGGATTAAGTGCTGAAGCCTGCTCTGCTGTTATCTTTTATTTAGAGTATTCTTCCCCACACTGCTCTGCAGAAGGAGCATTGTTTTCCCTCCCTAAGAAATTATACAAGAAAAAAACAACATTTGTAAAAAAGGATAACAGAATGTATTACACTGGTTGACAGAAATTGGGGAAAAAATATGCTTTTGGGACACAAACTTTTTTACATTTCTGTCACAGAAGCTTCAGTCTTGAATGCTAAATACACGTTGGAAGAAATTACTCTCGTTTTAACCTGTTTATAAGATATGCCTTACTGTGACAAGGAAAGGAAGGCAAAGCTAGGAATGTGGTTTTCCAGTCTGGTGACGCTGGGCTGCTTAGTGATTCCAGGTTCTGTTCCCCAAAAATATCTGTCATTCTGTCACATAAACCAACGATATTTGAATGCAAAACTCAACAATGTGTTCGCAAGCAGGGACAAGAAACACAGGACTCCTAAAATAGGTGTTCTAAACAGTCACAGTCAGTGGAGATGTTTGTAACTGCTGCTGTTCTAGTGACTAAAACCTCCCAGGAGGATGTGATGAAACAGAGATTGCCTATGTGGATGTTCTAGACACTAGTCATGGGAAAAAAAAGAACAATATTATTTTTCAGGGAGAAAGAGAAAAATTTCCCTTGTATTTTGTAGGCAACTTGACAGTACTGGAACAAAATCAGTATGAAAAGCCACTGTGTGGAGCCCCAGTGAAGCTTAAATAGAGAAAGGCTATGTTTCTGAAATGAAAAGGAATGYTCGGCAAGAACTAAGGCATCTTAGTGTGCCTCCTGCTGTTGTTGGAAAGTGACAAATCAAGGTGCCCAGTGAGAAACAAATCTTTCCAAGAGTGCTCTTTTGATCTAATTTCCTTCTGAGTCYCAGATTAGGTGCCTAAATCTATTCTTAGAAACAGCACTAAAGGTATAGTCACCCAGAGTGAAACATGTCTGTGCATCTGCAGTGGCACACACGGATCTGCATTCTACTGTAATCTCTGTTATCAGCTTAGACAAAATCATTGAGCAAATCACATTAATGTTGTCYCCTATCATTACCTAGTTTAGGTGTTATGACTACACATCACCACTGAGAGGACAGAAAAAAGTGAAGATTTGGCAGCCTGGGATGGCAGGCAGGCTTTCTTGAATTTAGATGCTAGTCACTGTGACTAAGTAACCTGAATAATGTCTAGCTTAATTCATCATTGACAAAATAGGGAATTGATACCTAGCTCTGCAAAGAGGTGCAAAGAAATGTATGATGATGAGGCAGACAAAAAGAGCTAAATCTGTGTCAAATACTATTATAATTTCATTAATGGCAGCTGGGTACTGACCATTAACCTCGTGCTTCTCCCAGTCTTTCCTTCACCACTCCACAGGTGACTAGGGGAGGGGACTATAGTTTCTAGTGGATTYCATCTAGGTTTCAACCCTATTTTGAGTCAAGTTTCAGGCTCTGAATCAGAAACCTAAAAATTACACCAGGACAAATATCTTTCTACGCCATTCCTCTAGCAGATGAAACAGGTGAGACACCTCATCAGTGAAAAATTAAAATTATGCAATGAGAAAGTGTTGTCCATATTAGCAGTGAGATATTGACTTTAGTCATGAGTGTGCACAAYGATTGTGCCAGAATTATTAAACAGAAAAAAAGTGGGAAAAAGTGTGTAAGATTTGTATATTCAAATAAGTTCAACTCCGGACCCTGATTTTCTAATTAACTCCTAAAAGTTTGTTGCCATCTTAAGTTTGATGTCCTGTCTAAATGCACAATCACACAAGCAAAGAAATAAATATTGAAGATGTTTAAATGACTGTAAAACAGTAAAAGGAAAAAAGCCCCAAYGACCATGAAGTCAAAACTTTGTTTTATCTTTCTTGGAATGGATCTGAAGAAGTACAGGGTTAAAAACAGTATCTCCAACACTACTGTGCATAGAAGACTGCTTAGATTGAACTGTCTAAGACATGGCTACAGTTGTGGCAATAATGACGTTCTAACCATCCAGGAATTCAATGTACAGGGTATTACCATATCCTTGGAAAAAAAGCCTTCACAAGGTTAGGACTGAGGTGAGTACATATGTTAATGCTCCCTGGATCCTTCACACAGGTAATCTGCACTGAGTACCTCTCTTAATATGAGTAACAGACCTTATTACTGATTTCATGACCTTCTGAGTAATACAAGTGTGCTATGGAAAGATACAGCCTTAAATTTAGTATTTGTATTTTGTTTCTTTTTTTTTCTTTTTTCTTTTCTTTTTTTTGCTAGAGGATTTTTATTTTGTTCAGCATAAAGCACTATCTTTAATCCTGAAAAGGGCTTGTTAAATGATTCTGCATTGTACCACAAAATTGTACCACTTATAAAGTGGGGTAATTTTCTTTTGCCCTTCTGGTAAATGGCTCTGGGGCTTGCAGAAGAAACAGGCACATTTATTTTAACTGTTGGATGCTAGTCTCTGCATGAAGTCATAGTAATTATATCTTTTACTATGCCTCTATTTAAGCACACAAYATATATGTATATAAATAAAATGGAATGTAAATCTGGCCTTTGAGTCTTGACTCTGGCATGTTGTATTACTTACTTTGTGTCAGCCCTGTGTAACATGATACAGATCTKCATTCTGGTATCACTGGTTCGGTCAGAATCACTGTTTGTTTTACCATCTTACAAAAGCAATAACTCTTGCAGCTGTCCAGATAGATACAAATCTCACCTGAAACATTCAGAATGAATCCTAAGATGGTTTGCTGGCACCCAGAGGGGAAACTGTAGTGCTCTTGTTCCTTTCTTCTACCACAGCCTGAACACTGAGAAAAACAATATTTACAATAGAGTGAGTTTCCAAACTGCCTAACTTTTCAGATGTGTGKTTTTTATATGTTAAATATGGTTCAGAAGATTAAAGTCTTCATTTTAGGCAAAGAAAGGAAATAATGTTTCCTGTCCCATTTGCCAAGCTAAGTGAACAACTGTTCCAGCACAATTAGAATTGTTAATTGATTTGAAAACATAGGGCTTTGAAGGTGGAAAACTGCTGACATTATTTCAATGGGGAAATGCACTCCTGAGAGAGAGCACTGCAGTACAATTTCTCTCCTTGTTTTGTTGAATATACATCTATAAAAACACTGTGAATCATGCAGTAAAAACTGCTGTGCTGATATCATAAATCTCTGATAATAAAAATTTCATTGTTGAAACAATAAAATAGACTTTTATTATAACACAGAGTATCCACCTAAACATTGTCCTTTTAGCTTCTTTGAGTTAAATGTATGCACAGTTTTACAGTCTATAAACAGATCTGGAATAAAAGTTAATAAATGTCAAAATTTGCATTTCAAAAAATTCTTGCTGCATTTTAGGGAAGATCAATCTATGAACCTTTCAACATTATGTCAAATGAAATGCTAATTGTACCTTTAGGAATTTCAGAGACAGTGACAAGAAACTAAATGCTCTGTTCCTTTGCATCAGCAAGTCGAGGATAATTGTATATCTACTCTTGTGAACTTCTAAGAAAAAAAGAGAAATGCTAAGGAAAAAGGGTTTTCTATTCTTTAACTCAGGAGGGTAAACTCCTTCAGCCATCCTTCATCAATCTACCTTCAAATAAATTGTGTTAACATGTTGACAATGGACAAATCACACAGAGCTACAGTTATTCATTTTATAATAGGTTTGTCAAATGAACTTCAACTAGAGATTTAAGAGTGAGAAACATTTCCAGCCAGGAACAACTGACTTCTTCTATCCAAGTTTCTAGAACCATTTGTAGCGTAAATTTCTTTTTTTTGGGAACAACTACCTTTCTCATCCCTCCTCAAATATTAGTAAAGTACTACTACTTGTAAAGGGCAAACCCACTRAATATATAAAGAAGACACATAAGAGGTTTTTTATATCCTCTCTAGACAAATGTGTAATRCATCCCTTGTTTTGTTTAGGAATCAATCTTAGCAGTTTATCTCTAAGCAGTACAAATTGTACGCCATAGTGGTAAGTGCAAGAACACACTCATGCAATAAGGAAAACATGCTGGGAAGTAGCACCTAATTCAGGTTTGCAGTGTTTTCCTTGGTATTATCCTAGCCTTGCTATATTGAATATATTTCCTACAGCTACACTGAGACTGTTGAAACATTCACTTACTGTGAGAAAATTGAGAGACAGAATAAACCCGGGGAAATGTTTATGCTCGTGCTAACCTATTCAGTCAGCTTTATCCTGCTCAGGCCTGGACTAGGCATCTTCTAACTCTTTAAATGCTTTCACAGCAAACAGTCTGTGGTTTCCAAAACAGAGACCAGTTTCATCCTGCCTCTCTGGCTTATGGTCTATATGCCCACATTTATGCATTTTAGGTTGTTCACCATAAAAACATCCCAAACTGTTTCATTTAGGAGTTATATAACTCACATGCACTTCTGAGCTAGAATTCATGTTGGAGAATCTACTTCTATTTGTATTGCTGCTATATATCTGAAAAGGAAGCTTCAGATCCTACAGCTGGGTATTTGAGTCAAATCTGTTTTCACTTAGGTCAAAGGCAATTTTGTCTTTGGTGTGAACAGGAATTAGGTGGAGTTCCTTTTATTTACAGACCCCCTAGAATACATGACAACTGATGTATTTTTAATTTACACTAAATAAATATGAAAATATGTGTTCAGAAGTGATAAACTGAAGTTATTTCAGCCCTGTGTGTCTCTCACTGCTACAACACAAGCTACTCACTGGTTCAAATTTGATATCATCAATTTTCTTTCAAGAATGCTAAACTCTATGCCATCTCCATGCTATATAATATATAACCAGATAATCAGGAAATATGGTAGACATGGACCTTACCTACCTAGTACTTTTTTAATATAGCAACTATTTCCAAATGTATGATTCTTCTCTTCTTCAGTAAAACTAATTCCCGACCCTGTGTTCTCATAAAATGGTATTCAGCTTCATGGTCACTATTGGTGTATTGGAACAAGAAACAGTACACATTAGAAATAAAAAAAATATAAGAAAAATACTTTAAAAAAAAAAGTTGTATAATCAGAATAATTTATTATATACTCTATGCAATGAATAAATATGTTATATAGAAAACAGCATTGTACTACCACTTTTTGGGATAAGTGTGTTTCAGCATGCCAGTCAAACTTTTACCCATAATTTCAAAATAAATTGAATGGATTTAGTCAATTCACTGGGGCCCTTTTTTCACCAGTATATCTTTCACAACTATAAAGTTTGCAATAAGGTAGATTTTTATACTTTTATTTTCATTTCACTTCATACCTAAATAAAATAAAAAGAACAGATAAGAAACAGACAGAACTTTCTTAACCACAGTGTTCATCTCTTTTTTTTTTTAAGAGTCAAAACTGCAGGCTAATAAAGACCATTTAAAATAAAAGGGACCATTACTCCTCAGTTTTATATGAGCTTACATGCTTTCATTGTGCAAAGTGTGTTATTAATTTAACATGCCAGATTCATAGGTTTCTGCAATATCAGGTTTGATGTATTCATTATCGGCACTCAGTACATTAATTCACGCTGAAGTCCGGTAAATCAAAATTATACCATCTGGCTTCCTGTTCTTAATGATGAATTTGATGTAGGGGTGATTAAGATTGTTAGGCTTTTGAATTTTAATGTAAAAATTAGGGGATTAAAAAGGCATTTAGAAATGACCAATAGTTAGAATAAACTTACTGACAGGATCTAATTTGTGTACTTGCTAGTAAAGCTCCATTTTAATTAGCAGCCACAGTCTTTCAGCACAAGCTCAAAGAGACAGAAGTTTAGTGATTAAGAAGATGAAGCTGTTAAATTGATAAATTGACCTTGAAATACTTGTAACTGTGGGGGATGGCCTAGTAGTTGTATGGTTGGTATGTTGTGCTACTACATGGGGGAAAGAGTTCCACAACTGACCCTGTAATTCTGCCTTTTTAGATGATTGACCATCTGGGGATGGGACAAATCACAGAGGTGACCCCCTCAACGTCTAAATTCAATTGCTCAATTTGTAAGCAAACAAATTCCATTATTATTCAGCACTTGCTGGCAGATAGCCTGAAATACCACCTCAGTTCTTCAACATCTTACTCACTACCTTTGCCAGACAGAGGTGCTAAAACAAGGTAGAAAAGATAATGGGGTTGAAACGACATCATAAGGTGAATGATGACCTGTCAGCTTCCATTGAGAGCAGAACAGTCAGGGACAAATTTGGCTCTCACTTGTCAGATGTTCTTGACAGTGTCCAAGCAGTCAAATCTTTGACAAGACAATTCYGTTGTATCTATGATATTTTATTAATCTCAAACAAAGACATTGCGTAGTGTTGCAGGGAAATTGCTAGAAATCTTTAACAAGACAGATAAAATATGTAAGGGAAAGATAGCTCTGCTTAGGGTGTTCGAGCTTGTTAGAGCTGCATGACATCACGTGGAATCATATTAGGGCCAGCAAGCTAAGGCAACTCAAATTCATACACATGCTATAATTGAAATAATAATAATAAAAGCTATTGCTCCCATGTTTTGGCAAAGTCCCAGTTATTTGTACYGTCTCAGAGAAATGTGATATGTTATATCTCACCCTCCCATTAAAATTCCTGAAGGTAGTCACTAATATTGGTACACTGTGGCAGGTATAACTTACAAGAGAAAACGAGTACATTTGTACATATCAACAGTTTGAAGGATTCTTATTCCTTGGCAAGTCAGAGAATATTTTAAGTCTTATATTTTAGAGGAAATCGAATCTTGACTAACCACTGCAATTTATGTCATTTTAAATAAGATATATTTGAATAAGTATATTTTTCATGCCCTAAAAAGACTGATGTCTTCTTTTATAAGCTCATCCTGTGACACACTTGAGTAGGTAGGTATATTGATTTTTTTCTTTTTCTGATGGCAATGAAGTGTAAATGGAAAATATCAGACTTGGCAATCACTTAAACCATGTGAAAATTTCAGAGTGAAGGCTATTAGAGTCACTTTGTGATCTCCCTAGATGACCAAGGAAAAAAACATTTCTACATTTCTTCAGATCCTTTGTGTGACAGCTAAGGAGAATAACATTTTTTCTAATATGCCAGTTTTAGTCTCTAGTTGAGAATAACCTCAGTGCTTTCTTATGTCACTAGCTGAGAGAAGATGAAAGACCCAGCCTTGTGTAAATGGCTTTGTCTAACCATCAGTCTTTAGCTCTGCATGGCAGCTGTACTATTGACATTAGCTTGTGCACTGGGTGAAATTGAAGTGAGTTAAATGTGACCTTGGCTTAGTTGTTGAAGTAGAAATGAACTCTACTGGGAGTGAAAAAAAATAAGACCAGTTTCTCTAACTTCATTTTTTCTTTAATGAGTTTAACAGCACTCTTAGGATTTGATACATTTTATAAAAAAGCTTTTATTTCCTTTTCTATTATACAGTGAGTAATCACCATTAGTAAGGTTAGCTTGCCCTTTTAGTATAAAATCCTGATTTTAGGTGTTTATATCCCAATTACTATAAAAAGCAGATCTCTGTCAGAAAAAAATCCACTGTCTTTTCTCTATGTTGTCTGCTGTACCATTTCCCAAAAACCTGTTACCACACTTATTAATTATAGCTGAAGCACTAAAAAAGCTGCCAAATGTTCAGTGTTTCTAGTGACTTTGCATTGTCTTTAGGTTAAATTGAAATTCACKGTAGCACTTGCTGGTAAATCATGTGCTCAGTATGAGAAACATGCAGATAAGGGAGGCTGGTTTGGAGTCAACCCCGTTTTTTTTTCATTTTGTCTATATTCTGTATTTCTTTCATGTGTACATGACACATGAGMTATCTGAGGATGGGCACAAGAACCGGGAACAGCTAGTCACATTCTCATCCAGATCTTCAGCTCTTGTATAGGGTTTTAACCGGGGATCATAGAATCATAAAATAATTTGGGTTATAAGGGACCTTAAGGATCATCTTGTTTTAGCTCCCCTGCCATGGGCAGGATTACCAGCCACTGGACCGGGTTGTTTTGGGCCCCATCCAAACAGGCATTGAGCACTTACAGGGATAAGGCATCCACAAATTCCCTGGGCAACCTATTCCTCTGCCTCACCACCCTTACCTGAATTTTCTCCTAACATCTAAATGAAATCTCTCTTCTTTTAGYTTAAAAATATTTCACCTTGTCTGTTCACTATTTGCACACATAAAAAGTCAACCTCCTTTTTTATAAGCCCCCTTTAAGTGCTGGAAAAGCACAATGAGGTCCTCTGAGAATCTTCTCATCTCCATCCTGAGCAACCAGAGCCCTCTGAGCCCGTCCTTTGGGAGATTTGGTCCAGTACTCTTTATGACCATGCTCTGTACCCACACAACATGATCCACAGACAGATCCATGTCTTTCTTATGCTGAGGACCTCGAGCTGGACACAGTACTCCTGRTGAGGTCTCAGGAGGGCAGAGTAGAGGGGRAGAATCACTGCYGARGATTGCAAGCACACATTGCCATCTTTTYACCCAACAGGGCTGCCATCAATGTACTCAWGTCTRRGATTGCCYCAGTCCTGGKGCAGAAYYTTKCACTTGGACTTGTTGAATYTTRTTAGRTTCTCATGGACWCRYWTTTCAAGTCTGCCCMGGTCCCTTTGGATGGCATGCCTTCCTTCTGTKGTGTSAACTGCACSAYTCAGCTTCGTGTTATTTGCAAACTTGCTGAGGGCTCACTCAGTCTTGTTATCTCAGTCACTGATAAAGATTTTAAATAGCAATTACTCCAGGACAGGGCCCTGAGTAGCATCATTTGCCATTGGCCTTCCTCCCAGACATGGAGCCATTGACCAGATCTCTCTGGGAGTGTCCATCTAGCCATTTTCTTTTCCACTGGACAGTCCACCCTTCAAGCCCATGTGTGTCCAATTTAGAGCCAGAGATGTTGTGTGAGAGTGTGTCAAAGTTCTTTTGGAAACCTAAGTAGATGACATCAGTCGGTCTTCCCTCGCTGACCATTGCAGTCATTCTGTCACAGAGGGCTACCAGGCTGAGCAGGCACAATTTGCCCTTTGTGAAGCCATGCTGGTTGTCTTGGGTCACATCCTTGCCTTGTATGCCCCCTAACACAGCTTCCATTAGAATATGTTCCATGGTCTTCCCAGAAGCAGATGTAAGGTATATCTGTCTATAATTCCCTGGAGGTTCTTTATCATGTTTTTAAAAATAAGTGTGAAGTTTCTCTTTTACAGATCACTGAGGTTTTCACCTGACCACCATGACTTTTCAAAGAGGATGGAGCATGACTTCGAATCCCACGAGTCAGCTCCCTCAGGATCCTGGGGTCATCAGGCACCCGAGACTTGTCCCTATTGAGTTTCACCAGATGTACTTGAACCTGCTCTTTGTTCACAGAGGGAGGGATTTGGTTCCCCTACTCCCCACCTGGAGGTTCAGGGACTTGAGTCAAGGGCAGCCTGACTGCCTCTGAAGACTGAGATGAATAATTTGCTGAGTACTTTGGTTTTCTCCATATCCATTGTCACTAGGGATGTTCTGGGATTTGTACATCAGATACTTGCACCAGTCCACAAGACAATCTCAGTGAAATCAAACACAAGTGCAAACCTCACATTCACTCTCRGGGCAAAAAACTAAACATATTTTATAGAAAAGGATTTCACAAGAAACTGCATAAGTTACAAGTGAACTAGAAGATGAGCCATTCTGAGGGTCTGTGACTCCAGAACCATAACAGGAGAAAGGAAACCTGAAATGCTCAAAGAAAAGAAGAGACACAGAAAAAGAAATATTTCCCTACCTTGCTTGCCTGCTGTTGAGATACCTCAGCTCTGCTGCTCAGACTGAAGACTGGGTGCTCAAATCTTTGATAACCTAGTCTTGGGTTCAGCAGCCTCAAAACTGTGCATATCCCTGGATGAAGAAAAACTTGTTCTTAGTCGAAGACCTACAG